GCTACGGACCGTAAGTCGAACAAGATGACGAAAGCACGCCGCGGCGACGTTGGGGAGCTCAGGAGCAAGTGGCACAGCAGGGGCACGAGATCTCGTCATTGCGTCGTCGGGTGGACCGAGTTTGTAGAGGCATACGCCGTTCCCCTCAAAAGTTTACTTAGGAAGTGTCTAGTCCAGGTGTTTTTGGGTGTTTAGAGGCTCTGTCGCGTTCCAAACCCTTTAGTTATCGTACTGCAGTTTCACAGCATGGCTTGAGCAATGGTTCGCTGTTAGCTTGACTCAGAGAGGAACGGAGGGTGGGCTGCTTGGATCAATTTTTGCTGCGGTCAGATGCTTGATTCAGTTACTTGTTGTGGGCAGCTAAATAAACACCCGTAGTCTGTCTGTCTGTCTGTCTGTCATTGCCGATTGCGTGACCGCGCACACCAGGCGCGAACCGGGATCCATCCCGACAGAGCTTCCATCAGCTTGTAGCCGCTTGCGTAACGGCGCACTCCAGGCGAGAACCGCGATCAAGCCGAACTGCTGTACCATTGACACTTGCGTAACTGCTCACTCCTCTCGTGAAACAGAATCCACTGGTAGCTGTTCCATCAGATCATGTTAAGTGTAGAAGCGCGACCACCAGGTTCGAACCGGGAACCCTTCCGCAAGAAACACGTTAGCCTCCAGCCACGAAAAGACCCAAAAATGCCGGCACTGTCGCCCTACTGTGACTTCTACGCCTGCTTGCTGGATGCTTTTGGGCCTGGAAACAATTCTAAGCCTTGGTGCCCCCCCCTGGAGTTCCAGCAAGCCAAGAGATGATGGTTTCCGAACCCTGTTGGCACTCACACATAAACAACCTGCCGGACATTTCTAAGCGGACTCAGCAGTCTGCAGCCATAGTCAAGAAGAAAAAAAGTGTTAGCCGCTTGTGAAAAAAAGAACTTCTGCCAGTGAGTTCTTCTGCTTTGGAAACGGCTTCACAGTTTGGTTAACCTTAGTGGTATGTTTCCGATTTGCTCCGTGCCTAATACGTTTCTTTGACGTGCTCCGTAAAAAAGACTCATCTGTCCACTCGAAGCAAGAAAATGGACTGTCAAGGACGGGAAAGACACAGAAGTCTACCCGTTCCAACAGTAATGACACTCTTCCAAAGCCTTTGACAAAATGCTTGCGAAACTACCAAGCTGCAACAACATTCACATGCCTTCAATGACTAGGACGCCTGCAACATTCCCTACACGCAACAGTTCGAAGTTTCCACTACTCAAGTTGGCATTCTTTGCCAAGTAGTTTTCTGTGCATAGCCTTAGCCTCACACCAACCAGAAAAGTAACACTAAAAAAAACGTTTTCAGTGATCAGACAGTGAGCTGCGTGCTTGCATCCGACCATAAGACGGTTTTCAGCGTGGCGTCCCATACGGTTTTTCTTTTGTTGCGTCCCATGCTTCAGTTTTGTTTGGTTTAGGCAACTTGTCCAAGGCTTGGTACATGGTTTGTACCCTTGAAACACTCCAGAAAGACAGGCTTCCGACCAGTCCGCCCTTACCCCATGGAGGAGTTGTGAAGGGTGCTCCCCGTTTTGAGGTTTCTGACAGTATGGTGACGTCGTTCCAAGCCAGTTTGCTTGTTGGTTCTCACTTCTCGATGCCAGGTTTTCCCATCGTTGAAAAGTTGAAGTCCCAAAGTTTACGTGTTCAGGGGGTCCAGAAGGTTTTGTAGGGGGTATAAGGGGGCCTCCTCAGTCATTTCTGTTGTCTTACAACCTACCTCCAAAAGAGAGGACAAAGTCTGGGTTGTTTCGGACGAAAACACCAGGTCCGGTGGTGTTGCTTCTGCTTCTATCAATTTCGTGTGTCTCTTGCGTATATCTCCTCAATTACAATTGAGAAAAAGTCTTGTGCAACTTTTTGGTGTGGAAAAAAACTCTACAGGAGACCTCAAGAACTCGAACGCTGCAGGTCGAAGCATTTTCCGAAGCTGATCTGTTGAGTTTAGTTTTAGAGAAGAGAATCTGTGCTGTTGTCAGTTGTTATGGCCAATTCGTGTTTAAACTTGCAATCATACAGTCTGGTTTTGTGCGGTTTGGCGCTTTGTCTTGTTTTCCAAAAGGAGCTGCTGTGCAAAAAGCAAGGTTTAGGCCTACAGTGCACAGTGCGCACTGGTTGGTTTGGGAAACGGAGCCGCTCGCTGAGTCGGCAAGAAACCTTCTATCTGGAGGACTGGTAATTGGAATCCGAGTTGCAAGTGAGACGGCTTGGATTCTCAGTTCGGTTTGAGATGTTTTATGCGTGACGTTCCTTGGTGGCGTGTTTCGTGGCATGCTCTCCTAGATTCTAAACGGTTTTGTGATAAGCTTCTAGCTTTGGTTTTCCCACGTGTTGTGGAAAGAATCTGCGTTGGTTGATTTCAAAACGCAAAAAAACTGAGGAGATATGCTTCTCTTACCACCGAAACCGTGTTACTGTTGCCACTTTTCCGATGCGATTGTGCAAAAAACACAAGGAAAACGCTTCTTCTAAAGCGAAACCGTGTGACAGCTGCCACTTTTGGAAGCCAATTCTGCCAAAACCCAAGGAAAGTACGCCTTCCAAAAACGAGCCAAAAACAGGAAAAAACAACACAACGCTTCAAAGTAGAGAAAAACCATGGAAAATGAAGCTTTTCCATTGTTTGAAGCGTTGTGTTGTTTTTTCTGGTTTTTTGCAATCTATTTTGGAATACGTACTTTCCTTGGGTTTTGGCAGAAATTGGCTTCCAAAAAGTGGCAGCTGTCACACGGTTTCGCTTTAGAAGAAGCGTTTTCCTTGTTTTTTGCACATTGGAAGCCAGAATCCTTGTGAGTTGCAGTTTTCGTCAGCAGCGAATCGGCAGTGCAGCTTGGTTCGGGAAGTTGAAAAGCTACCTAGAAGAGTACGGGTTAGCAAGTGATAGTGGACTCCCGGCACTATTCTCAAGGAAGCCAGATAAAGAAGGATTCGGAATAATTGTGCTGAGTCATGTAGATGACATGGAGCTATACGCATCAAAAGAAGAATTCAAAAAGTTGGTCGAATTCCTGAGAAGCAAAGGATTGAAGATCAAGGTTGAAGGACCAATGGATGAGAATGAAGGATCAATGAGTTTCCTGAAGAGAAGTTTCAAGTCGATGGGCAATGGAAACGTAGAGATCACGATGAACTCAAAGTACATCGAAGGACTGGTAGAAGTGCTCAAGTTGGAAGGAGCATACCCGAAGAAACTACCTTGTCCAGCGGACAATGGAAGATCATTTCAAACAAAAGAAGGTGGAATGGAACCACTGAGTACAGAAGATCATCACACGTTCAGAAAAGGAGTAGGAATCTTACTGTATCTCGCGCCCGAGAGGCCAGATATCATGTATGTCTTGAAGAAGCTGTCAACAAAGCTCGCATCACCCGTTGAAGCAGACATGGAACTGCTAAGGTACGTTGGAAAGTATCTCAAGGGATCACCAGAGCTCGCGTTGGTACATCAAGGAAGTTACCCCGGAAAAAGTTTCCTAGACGTGAAGAACAGAAGCGATGAAGGAAACGAAAGGGACAACTACAAAGTGCCAGCCTTCATAGAAGTGATAAGCGACAGTGATTGGGCAGCAGACCGAGAGTCAAGACAAAGTGTTTCAAGCGGAGTGATCATGGTGAATGGAAACCTGATTCATTTCCGAAGCAAGAGGCAGAAAAGCGTAGCATTGTCATCTTGCGAAGCTGAGACAATCGCAGCTACATCAATCTTAAGTGAAGGAGTATTCCTGAAAGGATTGCTGACAAGAATCCTAGGTCCTAGGAATTGAACCAAGACTGATGTTATACAGTGATTCGTCAAGCTCAAGACAGTTGATCTCAAGAAAAGGCTTAGGAAGAGCACGCCATTTACAAGTGGACCTTTTATGGATCCAAAGAATCCCGAAGCTTATTATAAAGGCGATAGCAGGAAAGGACAATCCCTCAGATCTGGGGACCAAATCCCTGACACGGGAGCAAATACGAAAGTATATGCTAAGCTTAGGATACACAGGTGAATTTCTGACGCCAAGTGATCAAGAAGTTCAAGAAGCTGAAGTGAGCAGAACAAAGACAAAAAGTGTTCCAAGATTCGATGAAAGGATGGTTACAAGGATCGTCCAAGCGGTCGTGACCGCAGTGTTGTTATCGTTAGCTGAAGCAAGAAGATTCGGTGAGATCAGTTGTAGACTTGTCTACCAACCCCTTTTTGCGTGCGAGGCGAGCCACATGTGGCGAGCTTGCAAAAATCCAAAAAGTACCCTAATCCCTATCCCGTGTGCTTTACCTCACCCTAAGCACCGGTATTTTGGTGTGACCATTTCTTGTGTCGTGCCATTCTGAATGCTTGGCTTATCCGTGACATTCATCTCAAGTGGTGGGGGGGCGGGACCGCCAAACCGTCTCGATAAAAGTTCGTGACGGGGGTGTGCGGTTAGAGAGCCGTGGAAAGCCTTGGGGCCAGTAGCGTGCATCTAGAAGGTTCTGGTGCTCCTAACACGAGGTGCTGTTAGGTCGTGCACGCCGTTTGGTCCCGTTGACCGCGGCAGATGGATCAGGAGTGGCTCTCCTTCGGTGGAGCTCATGGAGCATCCGGAAGCACCTGGGACCCCACCGTAGTTTTGATCAAAGGGCAAGGGTGCCCTGCCGTCCTCGAAGGTTGGCTGGGGTGTCCGAGGTCCGGATGGCTTGTAGCTTGGGTAAGAAAAGTTCGCGTGTGACACTTTTGGGAGTGCTTTCATGTTTACTCACGCTTTATTGCGAGTGCTGATCTAGGCTAAAAAAAAATTTTCTTTTCACTGTGAGAAGCCTGATCATTCGGTCATGGGTGTGTGTGAAGTTGCTGTGGCACTCAGTACCCGGTCATACTTGGCTCGCTCTTGAGTTCGGTAGATATTTTCTTTTGACGGTTACGTGAGCACTCTTTGTAGCGTAGGGTGGCTTCGGAGGCGCACTTTCTTAGTAGATCAGGGCATCCTTTTTGAGCCTACATGGGAGACGTGCCTGTGGATGCCGCTGCACTTGATGCGCACTTGTCCTTTTGCATCAGATCGAGTCACCAGTCGTCTTTCAGACCTACGTGGGAGACAGTCGGAGACGGAGAGCCCACGAACTTAGTTTTTCGTCTCCCTGCTGCAAGGGGACCGTTGCCGCTGATAGCAGGACCTCGAGCTGAAGCGGCATCTTCCGGGTCCGTCAGTCAGGCCAAGAGACCGGGTGTTTCGGGAGACTCTCCATTGAAGATGGCTAAACATTGGCACGGGATTTCGTGGGAGTACAAGCTGGAACGAGAGCTGGTCGCGGGTATCAGGAAGTGGGGTGTGATCATTATGCACTCCCCTCTGAGCTTTGATATTGGCCGGCGTCTTCGGGGTGAGCAAAGACTTGAACCACTCATCTTGGAAAGCCTCGGCCACATTTTTGCTGGGAAGGCAGCTGGTACTCTGCATCAGAGGGCTGGTCCGATGCTTAGGTATATCCGCTGGAGTGTTCAGGCCGACATGGATCCTTTCCCACTTGAGGAGGGGCAGGTATACGAGTTTTGCAAGGGTTGCGAGTTTTCTTCTGCTCCGACTTTCTTGAAAAGCTTCATTGTATCCATATCTTTCGCTGTGCACGTCCTCGGTGTCACAGGTGGAGCCGACTGCTTGATCAGCGGTCGGGTGATTGGCATAGCGAGGCTCACCTACCTTGCAAAGCGCAAGAAGACTCGGAGGCCGCCACTCACGGTGGCTATGGTAGCTTTCTTGGAGAACCTTGTTTGTGATCCGACTGCCAGGGCAATTGATCGAATCTGCGCGGGTTTCTTTCTTTGCTTGGTGTTCATGCGAGCCCGTTTTTCAGACGGGATGAACCTTGGAAACTTGCAGTTGGACACTCCGAGTGGTCTAGCCACTGAGGTGGCTGGATACTTGGAAGGAGAGGTGCTTCGATCAAAGACGTCTTTCACGACCGAGAGAAAGACGATGCTTTTGCCCATGGTCTGCCCACGCTTAGGTGTCACAGGACTCGATTGGGCAGGAGTGTGGATGAAGCTCCGGGAGGTTCACAAGATGCCGACGGGCAGCGGTGTGCCGCTGCTCCCTGGTACAGGAGCTTCGGGAGAATGGCTACTCGTCCCACCGAGTGCCACTGTAGCTGCGTCCTGGCTTAAGGGCATTTTGAGCAAAGGAGGTTTTGATCATGGGGCTCTCGCCAAATTGGGCACTCATTCGTGTAAGTGCACTACCCTCAGCTGGTGCGGTAAATTTGGTATCGATCAAGCGGTGCGTCGTACCCTCGGTTACCACACCGACCGAGCTGCTGCGATGGTCATTCTTTACTCTCGTGATGAGATTTCAAGTGCTGTGCGAGCTCTGGAGAGAGTCCTTGTTGAAATCAGGGAGGATCGTTTCAGGCCTGATGCCACTCGGAGCGGACATTTTCCTTGTGAGGTGGCTGCGCCCTCAGCAGAGACAGAGGGTGATCCTCCCGACTATGAGTCCAACGGCGGAGTGAGTGAGTCGGAAGATTCACAGGACGAAGAGGACAACGTTGGCGATCTCGGAGCCGAGGAACGGGCTCTGGAGGAAATTGGAGCCCCGTGGAGGCCACAGGGCGCTGCGAGTGATCGCCGTATGTTCCGGCACAAACTCTCGAGGATCATTCATTTTGTGGCCGACGAGGCCGGTGCCACTTTTGCATGTGGAACAAAGATCTCTTCGAATTACGTTGAGATGGACAGTGGAGTTTCCTTCTTGCATCCTTTGTGCAAGAAGTGCCACCCGGTCCGATAAGAGCTGGTTCGGGCTGGACCGGAGTGGGTTTGGGTTTGCCACATCCAACCCGGTAGAGGAGCTGGCACGGGCTCGGGTTGGGTGAATGCTGGTGCCTCCACTCGCATGTCGGCTGATTCGGGCCCGAGCTGGAACTTTGGGCACAGCATCGCAAAATACCTTTTGATGGCCTTGAAGGATCGTGAGAGTCCTTCTTGGATACATGAGTGCAGCGCTAGAGGATCGCTTGGATCCAAACCGATTGGCCCTTAGCGAGGGGCAAGACTTTGTGTTGACGTGCTTAACAGTGACTTGGGTCATTATGGATCGCAAAGTCTTGTCTCGTTTGAGCGTCGAGGCTATGGCATGCAACAAATACAGGGTCCTGTGATGTGTGCCGCGCGGAATGCCGAGAGAAGCGATAAACTTTTGCAGAGGTGCTGTAGAGCAACAGTTTGCAGAGGTGAAGTGTAAATACTGCGCGAGCAAGTGTGCGTCTCAGAGCAGGTGGAGGGTGTAGTCGTTGCAATGTCGGTCACCGATTCCACCGCAAATTTCCGTGCGAGGGCCATCGCGCTGGGGCTTGATGAGGCTGTCCTGCAGAAGATCATCGACGGGGGTATTGACACATTGGCCAAGTTTGCTTTTTCGTCTTCATACACCCCTGGTGCTCAGGATGAAGGGCCTTTTCTTGAGTCCATTTCAACTCTTCTGGGTAGGAGTGGTAGCGTGGGAGAATTGTCAGTACTTCGACGCTTGTTCCATGAATCCTACTCGCTCACCTCGGCTGAGTTGAAGCAGTCAGTGGAGCGTGTTGAGGACGGGCCTGTCAAGAGATTGGCTCAGCCCGACAGAGCCGACCGGTTGGCCAAGCAACAGAAACGCTTGCCTGGGATAAATATCCGAGGCCCCCTTGAGCCGTCTGATCGACTCGTGGATCGTTGCGTGGCGATCTATGAGGAAAACCGGCTTGTCTACGTTGAGCTTTCAGCCTGCACCTCTAAGGAAGACGAAATCAAGCAGGCCACGCTCAAGGAGGACCGGCATCTTGTCGTAGAAAGCGGAGGAAATGTTCGACTCAAAGGCTTGGTGAACAACAAGATGGATGCAGACATTTCCTCTGATTTGCTCATGCGGTATGCTCTTACTAGGCGTGGCCTAGCGATGGAGCAGGCGGGAATCATCTCTTATACACTACATGATGCCTGGACTGAGCAACTGCTCGCATGCCGCTTCCGAGAACCTCCGACAGGGTACAGTCGCGTTTCCTTGCAACAGGTCATCCATGCCGACAGACAATTCTTCATCAAACTTGCCGAGCTCACCCGAGAGGGAATACAGCTTCAGGCGACGGGTAGGCCATGTGATGTGCACTTCGAGACAGCTCGTAATCACCCAGATGTGGCACACCTAATGCAACCCCTTCTTGCAGCAGTGCCAAGGCCAGACCCCGCATGGACACCCCGCAAGGGCGATGGCAAAAATAGCAAGGGAGGTAAAGGTCATAAGGGTGGTAAAGGAAAGCGAGACACCACTGCCATCACTGCTGCGATGCCTAAGGAGATTGCGGATGGAGGGTTATCTTTCACGCCTAAAGGGTACGCAATCTGTTGGGATTATAATCTCAATAGATGCAAGCGCAGAGTGACATCAGGAAGGTGCGACAAAGGGTTGCACATATGCTGCCGTGCTGGCTGCCTGAAATCTGGGCACTATTACGGCAACTGTCCAAAAGCAGGAGGTTCTTGACTAGGTGCCTCAGGTCCTTTCGGTTCCGCCTCGCTTCAGGCCAGAGCCGATACGGGTATGAGCGTTGATGCATCCGGCGGTGCCTCCGCTGAAATCCTTTCACAACATTTGCTTGAGGCTGACAGGTTGCCCACTCCAGAGGAGATTGAAGAGCTCGTTAGCCTCTTGCCACACGGCGAGTTGACCGGCGAACGCCGGGGCAACAATGACATTTCTTGCAATGCATTCCATCGCGGTGCTTTTGTGCATGTCAAGGTAGGATTGCGGCGAAATTGCAAAGCTTTCCCAAGCACGACAAAGATACTAGCGAGAATTCTGCGACATGCCCATCCCGGGCATGAATTTACTTCCTTGTTGCTGTCTGTTGACAACCAGACTGCATTGCATGCAGATAGCCAGAATGCCTTCATCCCAAACTTAGTTGTTCCACTAAACCGGTTTTCGGGTGGTGGGATTTGGGTGCAATCCGATGACGGCAAAGAGCGCTTGACAGTTGATGGTCAGGAGCTGCTGGGAACCACCTTGGATTTAGGGTTAGGCCCCGTAAGATTTCAGGCCAGGGCTCAAAAGCACCTCACGCTGAGCTGGGAAGGCCGGCGAATAGTCCTTATCGGATACTCGGTACAAGGAGGTGAGAAGCTTGACGACTCAGAAAAGGTTGTGTTGCAATCCTTGGGGTTTGCACTTCCGTCGCAGTACCCTGCCACTGGCGACCCGATGGCAGAGCAGGCGTGTTTTGCAGACTTCAGTGGGACCAGCAGTCCGCCACTTCTTGAGCAAAGGCAAGAATATGAGCCACAGCACGTCGGCGATCCGTCGAAGGGTCCAGTGCAAGGGATCGTTATCGAATTGTTTGCTCGTAGTGGTGCCCTGTCTAGGGTTTTCAAACAGCACGGGTTTGAGGTCTTCCCGGTGGATCGTGGGGGACATAGGCTCCCTTTGTCCAAGTTGTGTGCACTTGATTTAGCGCAAGCGTCGAGTTGGACCTACCTTGAAGAGGTTCTTGAAACCTACCCTGTTCTTTATGTCCACGCTGAGCCACCTTATGCCACGTTTGGACCACAGCAGGCTTTCAGGCACTTAGTCAACGGGGTCACCAGCCCCTCGGGAGCCACCGATTCCAACGTTGTTGATCGGCTCGCGTTGGCTGATTCCATGGTCAACCACCTGTGCACTTTCTTGCAAAGCGTAGACAAACGGGGAATACCTTGGGCCTTGGAACATCCTAAGGCCAGCCTGCTTTGGAATCTGCCCAATGTGGAAGCATTGCCTTCAACTTCTGAGGTTGTTTACGATCTTTGTACTTTCCCCTTAAGCTTCGCCGCCAACTTAGGACCAATTGCAGGGAAGGTCCTTGAACTGCTTGTGCAAAGGCGATCATTCCCACAGCCAAGTGGAAGGCGGAGTCGTCACGCATCCGCCCGAATTCTGCAAACATGTCGTTCAGGCCGTTGCGCGGCACCATGGTTTGGCTTGCCCCGACGTGGCGTTGTCATCCACGCCAGTTGGTGTTGCCCAGCAGAAGCGAGGCAAGCCTGAAGCTTCGCTACTGCCCGAGTTCGGCAAGGTCTTGCAGGTGGATGTCGATCAGGTTCCGCCAGTGAACCACAAGCAGTGCCTCATACGTCCGTTGGGCGAGGTGCCAGCAGGATCCAAGCTCATCGCCACGTCTCTTCTCAGGGGTGATGCGGGTGGCGATGCGGGTAACGAAAGTAAGAAGTTTCGCCTTTCTTTGGGAGTCTTTGCCACACCAGATGCGTTCGTTGATGCGGCTAAAGACTTGCTACATCCTTTTGCTGCTTCGGCTGTTCTGTCACCTATTGTGAAAAGGCGACTGTTCGAGGCCTTGACCAAAGGTCCGGAGTGGGTTCAGCGACAACGGTGCTCCAAGTTGAAATTGTGGCTTAGCTGGGCCAAAGAACTGCAAGTTGCCGAAGGAGAAATGAAAGGTAAGCTAGACCCTGACATTGGCCGTGTGCTTCGAGGCAAGCGCTTGTTGCTCCTGAAGCGTATTGCTGATGATATGGACTGGCCTGACAAGGATTGGTTGAGCGAGCTCTTGGAAGGGTTTGACTTAGTTGGTAGTCAGAAGCACACCGGGGTCTTCAAGCGAGAGTTGCGACCACAGGCGAGGACCAAGGCGGATTTTCTTGGCGCTAGCAAGTTTTTGCGACCGGCACTTCTGGGCAAGGTTGCCTCTGAGGGTCTGAACGAGCATGCTCAGGAACTTTGGGACAAGACCTTGGAAGAAGTGACGGACGACCTTCTTGAAGGGCCTCTGACGCAGGAAGAGGTTCATGCCAGACATGGTGACCATTGGGTCCCGGTTAGGAGGTTTCCGGTTGTACAATCTTCAGCGGGAAAAAGGAAGCTTCGACCTATTGATGATTTTTCGGAAAATCTAGTCAACGGTTCTTTTTCGTATGCCGATAAGATTGACTTGCGCGCCCTTGACGAAATCATTGCCATTTGCCGATGCTGGACCCAGGCATGCACTTCGGAGCATCAGTTCTTTTTCGCGATGCCTGACGGGCCGCCATTGGTGGGCCGTGTCCACCCTTTGTGGATCAACGGGGCTTGGGAACCTTTGCTTACTACGTTTGACTTGAAGAACGCTTATCGTCAATTCCCGCTATCACCAGGCAGCCGTGCTCATGCAATCATTGCACTGTTGGACCCGAGTAGTCTTGACGTGGGTTTGTTCGAGTCCAAGGCGCTACCTTTCGGCAGCACAGCGTCGGTGGTTCACTTCAATCGAATGTCTCGGTTGTTTTGGAGGATCGGCCTTGAACTTCACTTGTGGTGGAGTAATTTTTATGACGACTACCCAGTCATGACACCAACACTGCTTAAGGATTCCACCATGTCGACAATGATGCTCCTGTCCCGGCTGTTAGGGTTTAGTGCTTCCCTTGAGAAGTTGGCCCCTTTCTCTTCGGTTGGTTCGATGTTGGGCGTTGAAGTAGACTGCAGCTCAGCGCCCGATGCGATCATCCGTGTTCGCAACAAAGAAGGTCGTGCGAGCGAGGTGTGTGAGGTCATACAAGGATGCATTAAGGCTGGCGTCGTACGGCAGAGAGATTTCGCCCGTGTCGCTGGCAGGATTCAGTTCTCAGATTCACAAATCATGGGACGTACCGGCAAATTGGCTTTGGCCGAGTTGCGAGCCTCGTCGGCTAAGCACGCCGACAAGTTCCGTCTTGGCGAGCAGGAGGTCAGGGCCTTTGATTTCTTGGTCAGTCGACTGTCCTTTGGTGCTCCTAGGGTCGTGCCCTGTTCGGTTCCCCCGAAACCGATTCTCGTCTTTACCGATGGCGCCAGCGAAGGATCTGTCCACACAGTAGGGGGAATCATGCTTGACCCGCGAGAACAACAACCGAAGTACTTTGCTTGCCATGTGTGCAACAGTGTCGTCTCGACTTGGTCCCGGGACCTTCAGCACATCATAGGTCCAGTCGAGGCCTACGCCGTGCTCACAGCGAGAAAGGTCTTTCATCAGTCACTGTCGGGACGATATTGTGTGTACTTCATCGATAACGACGGTGTGCTACTTAGCTACATCAAGGGTACGTCTTCTAGCAAACCGATGCGAGATATTTTGCTGATGTGGGAGTCCTTAGAGATGCATGCTCACACGTGGGCTTGGTGGGCTCGTGTGCCATCCGCTTCGAACCCAGCCGATGCGCCGTCAAGAGGCGAGCTGGATGAGCTTGTCAAGTCTGGGGCATTGCGTGTGGTTTGTGATTGCCCGCTTACCGGTACAAAACTTGTCGACTTGTAATCAATGGGGGCTCCCGTACTGCACTGCTTGGGGGGATCGGGCAGCCCGGTTCGCCCCGAGCAAAAAGAGTCCACTGTGCGAGTGATTGAGTATGATTGGAATCATTTCATATCTATACTTATGGAGTCTCGCCGTTGCATATTCTGATGCCGACTTTTCCTCTTGAATAACATTCTTGAGTACGCGATTGGAAGTTTTTGGATTTTTCCGAGCTTAGCAAAAAGATCAGTTGTAGACTTGTCTACCAACCCCTTTTTGCGTGCGAGGCGAGCCACATGTGGCGAGCTTGCAAAAATCCAAAAAGTACCCTAATCCCTATCCCGTGTGCTTTACCTCACCCTAAGCACCGGTATTTTGGTGTGACCATGTCTTGTGTCGTGCCATTCTGAATGCTTGGCTTATCCGTGACATTCATCTCAAGTGGTGGGGGGGCGGGACCGCCAAACCGTCTCGACACCCACCCACCACACCCTGTCGAGACATCATTGCTTCGGCTTGCAGCGCCGACTTGTGCTCCCAAGGAGAACTTTCAATTTTCTGCCAACATCCGGAGACTAACGCCTCGGTTGAGGCGGCGACTTTCTGTCGCTGACTCTCGTGACTTTAGCTTCGCCCGAAGTTGCTGCAACTCTCACGAACGTGAGAACGCGCCTAGCCCGAGCCTGGATCGGGCAGCCCGGTTCGCCCCGAGCAAAAAGAGTCCACTGTGCGAGTGATTGAGTATGATTGGAATCATTTCATATCTATACTTATGGAGTCTCGCCGTTGCATATTCTGATGCCGACTTTTCCTCTTGAATAACATTCTTGAGTACGCGATTGGAAGTTTTTGGATTTTTCCGAGCTTAGCAAAAAAGAAGAAGAACAAGGACTGGGAAGAGCAAGTGTAGTGTGCATACTGTTGTGCAAGTTCATATCAGCGATTATGCATAAAGTCGCAAGCGCAGCCGTTTTGCTCAAGAAAGAAGTCCTGAAGGAAGAAGAAAAAGAAGAAGATAGGACAAGAGCAATGGCAGACGATGATGCAGTCAAGTTTATGATAACAGACCGCAGCAGATGCATCGAGGCAACAACTTACCTCGAAAAAGTGTTGAAGCGCGACCGAGATCAAAGACCAAGTGACCAAGTGCTGACGACCTCTGGAAGGAGGTAGAAGCTCTCAATCAGCAGTACGAAGTTAAGTCGGTTGACAAGAGGAAAGAAGAGCAGCCAGAGAAAAAGGAGGAAAGTGAAGCAGCGTCGGATCCAGAGTCCGATGAGTCCAAAGAAAGCGAGTCAGCAGAGAAGGATGACGAAGAAGAAGTGCCAGAAGGCAAGAAGGAAGAAGATATGGAGACGTTCAAGAAAACTGCAGAAGAATTGGCAGAAGAAGCAGAGAGGCTGAAGAAGTCGCAGGAGGCGAACTTTGCAGCATTGAAGCAAGGAACTGTTCGGATACCAGAACATGTCCAGGAGAGAATAAGGGAGCAAGGAGAGATCATGGATGAGAAGTTGCAGCAGCTCGAAGAGATGAAAGAAGCAGCCCAGGAAAGAAGAGCAAAAGTTAAAGCAGAAGCGGACATCGTCGTGGAGAAGAGAGAAGAAGAAAAGACTCGAGAAGAAGAGAAGTCAACAGAAGAAGAAAAGGAGAAGCCAACAGAAGAAGAAAAAGAGAAGCCAAAAGAAGAAGAGAAGCAAGAAGAAGAGAAGAAAGAAGAAGAGAAGCAAGAAGAAGAGAAGAAGGAAGAAGAGAAGCCACAAGAGAAGGAGGAAAAGGAAGATGCCGAAGAAGCGGTAGTTCAATCCTCAGAAGAGGAAGCCCGTGAGGCAAGGGAAGCCCTCAGAAGTGGTTTCAACATAGACACAATGTCTATATTCCCAACAGTTATGGGACAGCTGAACGTCGAAAGCATTCGACGGGCCATGCCAACAACGAACCTAGAAAAGGAATTCGTGATGTGGCAAGAGCAGATGAGACGCCCCGTCTCAAGACTCCCATTGGGGTACGGTTTAAAGACCGCAGAGTTTTTAGCGAAAGTGGAAGACGACATGCAAGAATACATGGAAAGCATGTCAACGCTCACCGAAGACGAACGTAAAGCTGAAGAAGCTTACAAGCAAGCTAGAGAAGAGATGGATCAATACGAGCAAGAACTCAATAAGGAGATGAAAGAAAAGCTCGAGGCAAAGATGAAGAAAGTTCGAGAACTCGAAGAAGAAGCAGTCGCAGCAAGAGGAGATGTTGAGAAGACAAACAATGTGAGAAGTGCTTTACAGAAGCTAGGCGAAGTGGTACAGACGGCAGACAAGCTACTGTCAGCTCTAAGCGAAGAGTTCACAAGCCTAGATTTGTACACAAGGCCAGACCCAGATAAGGAGAAAGAGCGACAGGCTCTGGCAAAGCTTATGGCGACGATCAAGAAGAAAAACGAGGCAAGCAGCCCGGCAACGCCAGCAGCAAAGATAAAGGCAATGCCAAAGAAAGTGCCAAGCGTTCTCAGAGGAGGACCGACAATCTCTGCAGAAGAGATAAAAGCAGCGGATACCAAGGAGAAGCAGTTAGCATTGAAGAAAAAGCTGAGAGAATCGTTCAAAGAAGCGACAGATGAGTCGATTGAAAAAGCAGCAAAGGCAAGGTCGGATCACAGCAAGGAAAAGCCAAATGAGCCAGAAGGTACGCCACCAAAAAGACAGGTGAACCCGTGTTGGCTGAAGGATCCAAAAGAAGAGTCATTCAAGAAGACCAAGTACTTACACTGCTTTTATTGTAAAGCGACGGACAAGCATAAGGCTCCGGAATGCCCGAAGATGGAGGAAGCTGTCAAGATGTTCTACAACGGCGAAAGGCCAGACAGCAGCAATACCGAGCGCAGAATTTTCTGCAAGGTATGTTTTCTCTACTTCCAGAATGTGTCCTACCGGACATTCAGATATACGGGCTGGGGTACCCATACCCCAGACATCTGCAAGTACAAGGAAGCCGTAAGGACCTATCTTGAAGACAATGCATACAAGTATGAGAAGGAGTTGAAAGACTTCAAGGAGACATTTGGTTCAGGATATACGCCAAGAGACAGTTGGGGAACAGAACCAAAGAAGGCCAAGAAAAGTGATGAAGCAAAGGCTGAAGAAAAGTCTGTGAAGAAAGCAGAAGAGAAAGAGCCGAAGAAGAAAAAGCCAGCGGACAAGTCCAAGAGCAAGGACAAGGATAAAGAAAAGAAAGCTGAAAAAGCCGAGAAAGCTGAGAAGGCTGAAAAAGCTGAAAAGGAGAAGAAGCGTAAGAGCGAATCTCCGTTCGATCAAGCAAGAGCTGAGAAGCGCCAAAAAGGAGAGCAAGAGCTGGAGTAAGCCGCACCGTGAAGGAGCGCAACGGCGACATGTAAGAACGGTTTAAAGCAAGAGTAAAAGACCGTGAGGGCGTTTGCAATGCCCAGCAAGGCGAAAGTGAGGCTGAAGTCAGCCAAGGCAAAACGTTTCACCAAGAAGCTCTTTGGAGAAGCTACGAAAAGCCACGAGGATAGAAAAATCCCACAGCAACGACAAAAGCCACGAGGATGGAAAGATCCCACGGCAACGTCAAAGCACTACGAGCACTACGATGAATTCAAAGTCAATGTTCACAAAAGGACTGATGAAAAGAAAGTCCGAAAGAAGTTCCAGATTGCCGAAGGGCAAGGATGGACTACATCGCGAATCGCGACGTGAAGAAAAAGTGAGTGTGCATGTAGATTGGAGTGAGTCCATGCCAACCGTGTATGGAAAGAAAATTCGCAAATCTGCTATAGGACATCTGAAGACTGAGGATGAAGACCAAAGGAAGAAAAGGATAAAGATGTTCAAGAAGTGCTCAAAGAAGCGTGCGAGAAGAGAAGATTAAGCTCACAGGAGCATGCGAAAACTGTGGTAGAAGTAGGAAAAGTTTCACAAGGATCACGTGACACGACAAAGCTGTGTACGTGATGAGGGCGTAACAGAATGTTCAATTTTCCCTCATGCCCAATTTACCTCAAGTTTCACTGCGTATCTCCGTAGGTCAAACGTAGGCTCAAGACTGCCTGACAGCAGAGCGTAGAGTGAGAAAAGAATCTGAAGCTCGCGCCGTGCTGTAACAAGGATACTGGTTTAAGGGTTTAAACTTTCAGACGAGAACGGCAGTCGGAGTTCTTGGGGTTGGAGCTCCACCTGTTGCCTTGGGCTGCTTGGGGTGACGACCCTTTGTAGCTTCCATCCGGTCGCTGAGAGGGCTGTAGTTCGACTGAACGGCTAGCGCCGGCTAAGTCTGCGTGCCGCAGTCACTGGTTTTCCCTTTTTGTTTCACCGCTGTTTTTTTGTTGCTTGTTCGTGTTTGTTTGTTTGTAGGGACCGAGTGCTACAGCCGTAGCCGACGAGGCCCGCCCACGCAAAAAAGCAAAGAAAATAAACATGGTTGACCCATGGATGCTCTGCATCAATGAGATCTGGTCTGGGTCGTTAACATGGTTGACCCATGGATGCTCTGCGTCAATGAGGTCAAGTCTGGGTGGACGTTAACTGTTAACAATAGTTGACGCATGGATGCTCTGCGTCAATGAGATTTGGTCTGGGTGGACGTTAACATGATTGACCCATGGATGCTCTGCGTCAATGAGATCTGGCCTGAGTGGACGTTGCTGACGTCCTGGTTGACCCATGGATGCTCTGCGTCAATGAGATCTGGTGGACGTTAACATTGTTGACCCGTGGATGCTCTGCGTCAATTAGATCTGGTCTTGGTGGACGTTAACATGGTTGGACCCATGGATGCTCTGCGTCGAGGAGATGTGGTTTGGGTGGACGTTAACGGTTGACCCATGGATGCTCTGCGTCAATGAGATCTAGTCTGCAGGGTGGACGTTAACATGGTTGACCCATGGATGCTCTGCGTCAATGAGATCTGGTCTGAGTGGACGTTAACATGGTTGACCCATGGATGCTCTGCATCAATGATGTCTGAGTGGACGTTACCATGGTTGACCACCATGGTGACGACGTAGGTTGTAGCAGGTGCCGAACACACCGTAATTACCGGTTCGGCATAGGACCCAAAGGAAACACAGTAAATACTGAAGGAAACGGCAGGTGCAAAATTTGGGTTTTAGCAGTGCCGAATACACCGTAAAAACCGGTGAACTGGGCATGCGACACGAAGGCGACATTGTAAATACCGAGGGAAAAGAGGTGCTTGCACTGCGCGCGATCATCGCGTCTGGAGCGTTGATCTGCCCGCAACGTTCAAACGTCAAACCGAAAACGACTCAGGAGGTATGGCTGCATTTTTGCAATCGGAGCTGATGGGGCCTTGAACAAGTTCTATGCCAGCGTGCCAGTGAGATTTAAACCATCCGTTTGAGCCGTGGCGCAGCTTTGCAAACTTCAAACAGCTTGATACGATTGCTCGCACGAGAATCAAATCGGTCATTCGGTCGATAACTGAGTGAAAATGAAGTGGTGAACATTTATGTGGCATATGATGTTTGAAGGCCCACATAATATTTGAGCAACATGTTCTTGAGCTGTTGTGATCAGCTAAAGCACAATCATCGCCGCTTGTTGAAATTCCCACAAACTCTATAAGGACATTAGTTTGACTCAGCACTTCGCCAGTGAGTGGATGAGTGGGACACTATATTTCCGCCTTGAGAACAACGTCATGACAACAGCTTGTGTGAACGATCAAGAGGGCGAGGATGAGGAGGAGGAGGAGGAGGAGGCACGGGGGGGGTGGGGGAGCAGCAGCAGCAGCAGCAGCAGCAGCAGCAGCAGCAGCGACAGCAGCAGCACGCATACAAGTTTGAGCACCGCTCGCAGACCCCCGTGTCCTTGCATGTCTATTCTATAACATGTGTTCTTGTCATGTAGTCGTGCGGAGCACATGCAATTAACGTACATTTGGCTCTATGAAGTTGACCAACTCCGTTCCATGGTCCATGGTCTATGCACGCAAAGCCAGAATGCCCAGAACACAGCCACCGAGAAGCTGAACATGTCGTTCATCAAGCGCTTAATCAAGTTAAGGTCCCTGTCATGGAGGCCTCCGAGCCGTCGTTTCCCGAGTTAAAGTGCCTTTAGTTGTTCGAACAACTTGTTTTCAATGCTGCCATGCCGCTGGTCATGCCTGCACATCGTAAGCCCTATACGGTGGAGGAGGCCGGCAGAATCAACGAAAGCGCATCGGACTCGAAATTGCCTGCCTGTTGGAAACTTTCGTTTGCCGACTTCGCGTCATCTTGCTTCGGAGTGAGCATTTATGCGTTGAACACAAGCTCTTTGATGGCCAGGTCATCAAGCACAACACCCCCTCTTCGTTGTGGGTCATAATGAATCGAAAGGCGCCGACGACCAAAACGATGTGGATCCGTTTCCTTGCCGCTCTGGGATGAGCATGCGCTGGTCAATCCTGTCGAGATGTGCTGGTGTCGCAGGTGTATGATGTGACGAACTTCCACAAAAAGCATCCTGGTGGACCAGGCTGGCAAACACACGTGCAGAAGAAGTGTGCCCACGGTCCGTGCCAAGCATGAGATGCGACAGCCGCGCTAGGTGTGCTGCTGCAGATGGGTGGCAAGGCCGAGCATCGTCGGTTGGATGTACAGCTAGTTGTGTGCGTTTGCCTGAGGGCCTGAGTCCAGGATGCAACCGCAGCAGCAGCTGCTGCTCACAAGAGCATTCTGCCCGCAAACCTAATGTGGGAGTTTTGCATCGGGTACATTGTCAGGCCTGCGTTTTCCAGCCATAGATGCCTGCTAGTGCACGCAGAACTTTGACAGGACAAAGCCACAGGAGGGGGCAGTGGGGCCCCCTCCTGAAACCAAGACTCCGGTACAGAAGAAGGCAGCTTGCGTGAATTCCCACTGGGCCATGGGAGCTTGGCTGGCAGCGTTTGGTTCTTCCTGTGACTGTGCAGGTTGTGCAATTCAGTGTTGATGTAGTCACTGGTTCCAAAACATTTGAAGGCGTTTGTGGATCTGGCAGGCGGCATCCCCGACGAAAGAGGCATCTCCTCGCTCGAATGTTGCCACATGGCCACAAAAAAAGGCTAGGTCAGAGCTGAAACTTCGGCCATGGCTCGGACTGGCGGTCTTGTTCGATGTTCCTACCACTGCCTTTTCCTTTGTCCACGGCTTTGTTAATAGCGGTGTGAGACTGTCTGACAGTCTAAGGACAAGGTGAAGAGTGAAGTCAAGAGCCACTGGGCAACTTATGATCAGCAACAGTTGTGTGGGGCGTTGCATGGCACTGCAGGCGTCGCATCATCAGCTCAAGACGGTCTCAGCGACATGGCCTGGAACAGTTTTGCATTCAATTATCTCCACCATGACAATAGATGACACGCATGCCAACAGTATAGCCACATGCTGGCGGTGTGGATATGGTATCCTCGCGGTCCCAAGGCGACATCACAGATGCAGAGAGCCCGCTTGCAAAAGCTAGAGCAAAAGTTTCTCAACTGCACAGGGTAACGACATCTTTTGTTTCTGTGTGAGGTCTTTCTGTGTCCATCTATCGCATTCTTCCCTTTGTGTGTGAATACATATATATATATATATATATACATATATATATATATATATATATATATGTCTGTGTGTGTATGTACTCGTCAGTTTGGGAGTGTTGCTTGGTCTTGCACGGTGCTTATGCTTGCCCAATGTACACCCTCGCTCTGTCAGTCTGTTTTCTCTCTCGCTCTCTCTGTGTCGCTGTTTTTCTTACTCTGTCTCCCTCTCTCTCTCTCTCTATCTCTTTGTGTTTGTGATCCGTGCGATTCGGGACCGGAACCGACTGTTTCATGTGACCTTTTCATGCTCACATGATATGATCACATCTTCGACCCAAGAACAAGCGCCGCTCCCCGCCGTCCTTCATTGCCGATGTGGCTTCTCGACAGGCATTCATACAGTAAGCGCACCTCTACATTCCTTTCTTCAGTCTACAGTGCACATTTCTACGTCTGTCCTGATCTGAGGAGCGTTTGCTGACGCGGCCCGTGATGCCCAGCAAGCAGAAGGCCAATACTGCAGACGACGGGTTGACGGCGTGGCACTGCCGGGGAAGCTGCAAGCCTTCTTGCAGGACGTGTTGCAAAAACAGAAGTCCAACAACAGCGTTCAGCCCGTTCAGGAATCTCGACATGGCTTGAGATCTTGCATTCTCAAAATCTCTGCTCCTTTGCCTCTGTTGAAGGCTGAAGGGAGAGAGGAGGAAAGCCCGGAAGCGGCCTTTTACTCGGCACACGCCAGATTTTTTAACAGATCTTCTAGCTGCAACTTCATTCATCAGGCTTGCGAATCTCCAGATGTAAAGCCGGAGAGATCCTTCACAACCATTATGGAGGAGGCATGTATGTGGGATTTGATGCCTGATCAGCTTGTCGTAGTACAGGGCGATGTGGCTGTTCCTGTTTCAGATGGACTCTGAAATCTTGCCGCTCTCCGACGATGCCGTCGCACCTCCGGAGTCACCCTCTCAGATGTGGAAGGGCTCCCAGAGACTTCGCAGAGAGAGCGCTGTGAGGCCTTCGCCGCAGCCTGGAGGACTCCTTTGCTTCCTGAACTCGGCGGCTTGTTGGAGCAGCGACCCCAGAGACAAAGCTGAGACCAAGAAAAGTCGAGTCCAAGACTCCGCAGGTGGTCGGCCCTCGAAGGTCGAGACGCCAGAGGACAAGGCGCGACCTTTACCTGGTCAGGCAAATCTCAGCTTGTGGGCGTTCTTTGGGAGCCATGGCAGGTAACAGGAGATTGGTCTTTGTCGTAGTGGCCGGTGTTGGGCGACGGCGGCAGACTGCTCCTGGCTTTTTTCTGTCACTTCCACACAGAAGCTGTGCCGATTGCACGTGCAATGCCCACATGCACTTTTAATGCGAAGCTTTTCTTTCGCGGGAGCAGGTTTTGAGGGTTCAACAGTTCAATGTGCCAGTGATCATGGTTAGGTTCAGAAAGGTCCCATGGAAAGGAAAGACCGCGTCTCACTTGCAGAAGTGAAGCTGGACTGCTCGCCGGAACTCTGTTGCAAGGAGCCTTTTCCTCGTCTAAATGCCAGGGTCTCTTCGGGTCCCAGCGAGCGGAGGATGCTTCCTCGGTGTTCATGACTCCATGCTCTGGCTCAGCCGCTGGCACCCAGCTGCCCAGCCGATGCCCACTTTTTTTTGGGGGGGGGGCTTTGATCGGGGCTCTGATCGGAGGGGGATCTTTCGGCCCTCTCAATGGAGGGCTTTCCTCGCAGCCTGGCGCGTGTCCCTTCGGTGCAAACAGCTGCGAGCCGCCTTCGCTTGCCTTGGCCAAAGATCCATGGCACGCCTGTGTCAACCCACTTGCTCGAGAACTTCGCAGCCTTTTGGGCATCGTAAGAGCCCCATTAGCAAGCACGTGAAACAGACAGGGGCCGTTGATTACCAGCTGTCAGCATGCTGCTGAAGATCTACTTACTCTGAGTGCCAATCAATGCATAGCACTGGCTGGCGACAGCTTGCTAGAGCGAATGCGGTGTGTGGCCGCGCGACGTCTTATGCCTGGCTGGACGGGAGAGCTGCCAGTAAAGGGTCTGCGATGCCGCTTGCACACGTGAAGTGCAGTAATGGCTGCGTGCTGTGGCATGGAGCTGTCTGCCAGTGCAGTTCTCCATTGTCTTCCGCAGCTCTCGCCTGTGTAAGCTTCCCTGCCTGGCTCATCTGCCAGGACGTAGAATGCCCAAGGCAGGAATGTGTTGCGCCTGCTACTAGGGGAGGCTGCCCCCGGCAGTGATTGTTCCGTGTGGTCTGGCCGGATGTCTGCGTTATTTGCACAGTACCGGAAACTGGTAGTTATGACAGCTCCTGTCCGAATCCGCTTGGCCGAACTTGTCAGGTGGTTACTTCGAGGCGATTGCCTGTGTACACCAACAAGGGCCAGAAAGAGGACGACAGGTTCAATGCCTTCCATTGCAAGAGGCGCTAGTGTGCAAGCCTGGCAAGCCATCCCCAAACCCAAATCCACAGTTGGGCTTTGACGTAGCGCAGCCAAACTTATTCCGACCTCTCTGTTCGGGGTGTCGGAAGTCGCAACCCTTACTTTTTTCCACACGTTTTGGTTTCTTTATATTTCAGGTCTCTGGCTTTCGTTCGCTCTTTCTTTACCTTGGCAGCAATCGCCCTGCAAAAAGCCAAACGTGAGGTGATGGAAATCTCGCGGAAGCCACATGAAGCCAAACATACGGGAGCAACAACGCTTAGCCTACCCAGCTACGGACGCGTGACGCGAACAACGTTCCAATGACCTTGACAGGTGTCGTACACACTTGGTGACGACGGATGCTGATCTGGCGAACATCCCGCGCAGAAGGACAGGCATAGTCACCGTGTCATGATAGATTTTGTTGGGCAGAAAGAAGGTTTTGCTCCCATGTTCGAGCTTCTTGGTCCTATCTTCCTGGGCTCCCTGCAGTCTCCAATCTCGGCACTCTCAACAGCCTTGCCACTGTGCAGGGCTTCGCAGCTTGACAGGCCGAGTTTCGAGAGCGCGTCTTGGCACGGGTGGGGCGGACGGGACGCGATCTCTGCTCGGTTCTCGGACGCCGGGGCGAACGGCACGAACGGATCCTGGAGCAGACTTCGAGCATCTTCGAGCTTCGAGTTCATTTCCTTTCGACTGGCGGAGCACGAGCGCATCGCGAAATCGTCGACGCAGAGAAGCGGAGAGGATCGGTCTGTGTCCCCTTAGCCCCTTGACCTGGCAGGACCGATGGCGCCATGGTCTTGGATGCACGCCTGCAGGCGATGGCACCATACATACATATATGTATATATGTTTATAAATATACATATGAATATAAATATATGTGTATATATATAGTTACTGTAGGGTTCAGAGTTCAGGCCTGCTGCTCCTGCACCGCTGACGACCATTTCTGAAGGTGATCAGCCTCTACACAGTCAAGCGTGAGGTGGGGAACTGAGAGCCCGGGGGGGCCCAGACCTACCATTCATGTGAAGCTGCCCAGGGAAGTCGAGTCATTCGCCGCGAGAAGGGTGCAGAGCGGCAGCATCTCGGCTGCTTAGAGCCGGTCTCATCGAGCAACAATCGCAAGCGCAACAAGCGCAGCTGCGCTCGTACATGTGCCGTCAGGTATGTCCACGCACCCACCTGAGTTGGGTTCCGGTGAGAGTGCTTTTGGATGCAGATTGAACTCGTGGTTCGAGGCTTGCCCATCATGCGACCAAGACGTCGGCTACACATCGAAGCCCCACGAGGAGCTGAGCGGTTCAGGCACTGCAGCCTCGTGCATTTTTCCGTGCGCAGTGAAGTGCAGGCTGACCTGGAGCTTGTGTACTTGTCCGACACGGCTGTCACGGTGCCCTGGCACAGGACAGGCTCTGCATAGTAAGCCTGCGCATATCTACAGCGTCGATGGCTTGCAGGATGAAGTCGCCCTTCACTTGCAAGGTGTTGTGGTTTTGCACTGGTAGAACTAAACTTTGAAGACGCTTGAAGTCGAATGTCGGTCTTTGCCAGAGGTGAGTATTTGTGACCCGGTGCAGGTGTGCGGCTACATCTGCCAGAGTCAGGGGCAGCTGGAGTTTCACAGGCGAGGGCCGATCCGTGGATTGTGTGAGATCAAGTTTCCATGCTGAGCGGTAAGCAGGGTCAAAGGGCTTCATGTTGGCAGGAAGCAGAAGCAGCACACCGAAGACATGGAAAAGGAGCAAGAGGTGCGACCACACTCACTTGATACGGCTTGCACAGTCTTCCCAGGCCCACAACAGGCCCCACACCACCCACACGACCACGCTACGAGTTCAAGATACGGCGCAGAACACGAGCGGCACTGTGGCGGGAGATTTCGCAAGGATGCCATAACCCACGATTCACACCCGAAAGATTCTGCGGGACCGGCATGAGGACGACTGCAAGAGAGTGAAGGCCGGATTTGGAGACCAGACCGACAAGCACGCAGGAGTTCAACTAGCGTGGGCCTGCCGGGACTTTAAAGGCGATTTGACACCTGCAATGAGCACGGGGTCACCGAAATACGCACAGCGCTGTGGCGTGTATTCATTAGTTCTACCCAATGCATGCCCAACCCCTCCAAAAGACACACCGCCCACCAAGAGCATGCTCCATCCTCTGCAGACCGTAGCTGACCGGCCAGCTTCAGCATGAGTTAAAGCCCAATACGTGGCCAACCCCTTCAAACGGCCGGCTGCCCACCAAGAGCCGGCTCAATGCCCACCCGGCCCACCGGAGCCCCCTAGACTCACTAGTGCGCGCATGGCCGCCGTGTATTGTTCCATCCTTTCGCTACCTTACCCTTATGGATTCCCTTGCACACTCGGGTTTTTCTGTGCAGACCGGCCAGTCTCAGTGTATTTTTGTGCTATGTAGTAGTACGTAGTTGTAGTATCATGCATAAATTCGGCTCCAATGCATGCCCAACCCTTCCAAAAGACCCACCAAGAGTCTGCCCAATCCCCTTGCAGACAGTCTTCCTTGGCATACTGGCCGGACTCAGTGCTTTCTTGTGCTGTGGTAGTACAGATAGCAGTAGTAGTCATGAATTCGACCTAATGCATGACCCACCCCTCCAAAAGACACGGTGCCCACCAAGAGTACGCTCAATCCCCTTAGTTGTCTGGTAGTGTGCGTAGTAGTAGTAGTGGCAGCAGCAGCAGCAGTACTAGTAGTAGTAGTTGTGGTAGTAGTAGTAGTAGTAGTAGTGGTGGTGGTGGTGGTGGTGGTAGTGGTGGTAAGAGCAGGTTATCATGTGGAGCAATTGCCGTGCTCGGCAGGGTTCCTTGGACTACCGCTCCCATCAAGCTGACCGCCACGGACAAGGACGCCACATGGCCCGACATCACAGCAGCCAAGCTTGTCATCGGGGCCACTGGCCAGTTCACCCTGTCCATAGGGGAGGGAGACCACTACGTGGAGCTCAAGGCCCTCACCGTCTCTATGGCATCATTCACTCCCTCTTCCAGAATTTTGGGACAGGCTGGAGATGGACGCCATCCTGGAAACTGACGACAACTTCGAGATTGTGGCCTCGACGGTCAAGTGTATCTACGATGAGACCATTGGAAAGTGCGGAGGTCTGAATCGCGCCATCTTCTACCAGCCCAAGGATGGACGCGTGTAACGCAAGCTCCGCAATGAGCACAACAAAGGAGACACGCCGGCCTTCCTCTGGCATCGGCAGACTGAGCAGCGTGACAAACGCCAAGGTGACGCGCCGTCAACTCAGACGGACAAGCGCCACCGTGAAGGGGATGCGTGGCCGGACCCACCCTGGTCAGAAGAGAACTGGTGGCAGCGCGGCTCGGGTTCCGGCTCCAGCGGCAGGCGACAATGGCGCCAGTGAACCGCATCTTCTTTTCACGGTGCCATGCCTTCCAGGTACCAAGCTCTCCACTGCACACAAGAGGCTGAAGGATGCACAACTGCAACATAACTAGCCAACTGCTTCACATTCGGCATCATTCGGCAAAGCTCAGTGCCACATACTAACACCGCTTTTCGTTTGACTTCTCAAACCAATAGGGTCACAGGGTCAGTTTCACACCAACGTGAGTGCACAGGCCGCAATCGCCCGCAAAGTGCTGAGCCCGCTCGCACAGCGTGCAATTGAAAATCAGTAGTGGTGGTAGTAGTAGTAGTAGTAGTAGTAATAGTAGTAGTAGTAGTAGTATTATTCATTTCATCAAGTCAAGCCCAATGCATACCGCCCACCAAGAGTATTCTCAATCGCGTAGTTGTCTGGTGGTAGTTAGTAGTATGTGCTGTGGCAGTAGGAGTATTCATTTGTTCCAGCCCAATGTATGCCCAGCCCCGCCACAAGGCCCACCGTCCACCAACAGTGTGCTCAATTTCTCCAGCTGTGTGGTGGTGTGTGTGCGTGCTAATCAACAATTCAAGCTCACTGCATGCCCAACCCCCTTAGCCCCTTCGGACCACCAGGTGCGCGTCGCCCAGCCGTGTTCTTCTCAGTAACTGTAGAGTACTGTCACTTGAGTAATTTAATTCAAGCCCAAAGCATGCCCCAGCGCCCGCCATCAACCACTTTTTTTCTCCAGCGACTGCTTTTTGCCCTACCCGGATCCGCTCATCCTCACCGGGATTTTGCGACACGGTCAGGACATCCAGCATTAATTCGTCTCCAACCTTTAAAACCCGCATGCCCGCATGCCCAACCAGACAGGCAGACAGACGGACAGCTATACAGACCTCCTAACCCTCTTAATCCCGACCCTCAACTCGTAAGCCCCGTAACCCTTTTATCGTCCGTAACACCTTTGACCCCGTTAACTCCATTAACCAAATCAAGCCCGATGCATCCCCGACCTCCGTTTGCCCCTTTGGACCCTGCTCCCCAAGACCCGCCAGTGCTCGCCGCCTGGTGTTCCATGGCTCCGGGATGTACGTACGTTTTCTTGCGAGAGTAGTTGTAGTTGGCCCATGGTGTGTACGCGGGATGTGTGGGTGGGGGGGGGGCAGTTTCGTTCACTTCGGACATCCCTTTCGAGCGGTTTGCTATCCGTTTGTTGGATTCTCTAGTCCCTTTCGAGCGGTGTGCTACCTGTTTGTCAGATTCTCTAGTCCTTCTCGTTTGCTACCTGCTTGTCAGATTCTCTAGTCCCCCTCGAGCGGTTTGCTACCTAGTTGGTCAGATTCTCTAGTCCTTTTCGAGCGGTTTGCTACCTGTTTGTTAAATACCCCTTTGTCGAGCGGTTTGCTTCCTGTTTGTCAGATTCTCTAGTCTTTGTCGAGCGGCTTGCTACGTGTTTTTCAGATTCTCTAGTCCCCTTCCAGCGGTTCGCTACCCGCTCGTCAGATTCTCTCGTCTCGTCCTTTCGAGCGGTTTTCTACCTGTTTGTCAGACTCGCTAGTCCCGTTCGAGCGGTTTCGCAGGACATTGAGCTCGAATTATAATACACAACTACCAAACTAGGTCCACGGCTCGTATTACGCGGCGTACTGAATGTTGATTGTTGTCTTACGGTTTTGTTGCCGTCTGGCGGAATGAGATTACGTGCTGCAGCTGGACATTTTGAAGCACCCGAGCCAGAAGGCTGCATGCCGTGCACCAAACATCGGAAAAATTCGGGGACTAGGGACCTATGGAGGTGGCAACCCGCTCGAAAGGGACTAGAGAATTTGACAAGCAGGTAGCAAACCGTTCGAAATGGGCTAGAGAATCTGACAAGCAGGTAGCAAACCGCTGGAAAGGGACTAGAGGATCTGCCAAACAGGTAGCACTCGACAAGGACTAGAGAATCTGACAAACAGGTAGAATAGCAAACCGCTCGAAAGGGATTCGAGAATCTGACAAACAGGTGGCAAACCGCTCGAAAGGGGCTAGAGAATCTGACAAGCAGGTAGCAAACCGCTCGAAAGGACTAGAGAGTTTGACGAACAGGCAGCAAACCAGTCGATAAAAGCAGGTAGCAAACCGCTCGACAAGGAGTAAAGAATTTGATAAGCAGGTAGCAAACCGCCCGAAAAGGGATGAGAGATTCTGACGAACAGGTAGCAAACCGCTCGAAAGTGATTAGAGAATCTGGCAACAGGTGGCGAACCGCTCGAAACGGACTAGGGATCTGACAGACAGGCAGGAAACTGTTCGAAACGGATTCGAGAATCTGACAAGCACGTAGCAAACCGCTCGAAAGGGACTCGAGAATCTGACAAACAGGTAGCAAACCTCTCGAAAGGGATTAGAGAATCTGACAAGCAGGTAGCAGACCGCTCGAAAGGTAGCAAACCGCTCGGGAAGGGACTAGAAAATTTGACAAACAGGTAGCAAACCGCTCGAAAGGGTTTGGAGAGTCTGACAAACAGGTAGGAAACCGCCCGAAGGGGACTAGCGAACCTGACAGACAGGTAGCAAACCGCTAGAAAGGGACTAGAGAACCTGATTGATCAGGTGGCAAACCGAACGAAAGGGACTCGAGGATCTGACAAGCAGGTAGCAAACCGCCCGAAAGGGACTCGTGGGACAAACAGGTAGCAAACCGATCGAAAGGGATTCGAGAATCTGACAAACAGGTCGCAGTCCGCTCGAAAGGTGGCAAACCGCTCGGACTAGAGAATCTGACAAACAGGGTACGCTCCAAAAGTACATGAGAAGCTCCAAACAGACAGCAAACTACTCGAAAGGGACAAAGGAGTATCTAGCAAACCGATGGAAAAGGACTATATAGAGTACTTTCTCTACGAACACCGCTTTCCCACACCCGGCGACTACAGCCACCACCAACCTTCACCTCAAAGCCTCCAAGAACTCCCCAACAAACACCAAACTCAAACATCCCACACCCCTTTTTACTTGAGCCAAACCCCAAGTTCCGAAGGTGCGTGTCATCCCACCCCGCAGGGGCCATGCTCAGCTTCGCACCTCAGGGGAGTGCGAGAGTGCAAGTCTCGATCTACAAGCACTCCCCCTATTGCTGTGCTTCGCACAACAATACGAGATCGACCACCCTCGTTGCTCTGGATCCACCAAGAGCCGGATTGGCCAAGACACGCCTAGGCTTCAGTCATGTCGGCCACTATGCTTCAAACACCCCGAGCCCCTTGGATCTACTGTCCCGGCCAGCTCACATTAGCGAGTTCACACAGCGAGCCCCTGGGATCTGCTGTCCCGGCCAGCTCACACTGCCGTAGAATCTTCAAACACGCAAGTTCCGGGATCTACTGCCCCGGCCAGCTTTCTGACAATCACGAGCCCAAAGCGCTTTGCGCTCCGTTCGTGGCATCGGCCGATGTGGAATCGTACCGCCACCACTCACCTCACAGACACTGCGATACCACCCAGCAGATGAAGGAGTCACGGATTCATCCACCCACAGTCGCAAGGAAAACCCAATGAACCACTACCCCGGCCACTGAAAGAGCACCCGACTAG